CCTTTAGGTTGTCCATGAATTTTTTTGGTGGGCAATAGGTTGTGCAATAGTTTTTTAAAAAACGGAAAGTAAAACACAGGCCAGGATAGTAGAAAGCACTTGCTCCAGTCTTCTTCTCCCTGGCTCCCCTTGCACATTTGTTTTCAGCAGTTTTTGCTGTGCAGGAACCTGGGCCACACTAAAAAGTATTCATTGCACAGGCCTCAAAATCCACACAAAATTGATCATTTTTCAGTTCGATCAGACACTGAGGCATTCATGCAAATGATACAATTTTTATTGTAAACAAAGATTCCCCTTTGGGAGTGTTATGCTCATTGGAGGATCCACATTTTTCTCCGGCCAGTTTAATTCACCTCCCAGTAAGAAACAAGGAGACCAGACAAAAGATCGAGACCACGAGTTGTCTACACTTTCTCAGACTTTATTGACACCATAACAAAATCAGTTATTTGACAATTTAACCCACTTGATTACTTCACACCCTTAAGAAACTTTTAAAGTAAAACCTTAATCTAATATCCAAATGTAGAAAATAACTAACCCTGACTGACACTATTGCTAAGCATACGGAATAACTACAAGTACATTACTCTAAATTACTGGTTAACAGTGGGTTTGCTTAAAATTAGGACATTTGGAACTTCGTATTCCTATAACCACGGTTTTGTGATAATTTATTTTTTGGTGCCATATAAAGTCGTCATATATTTAACCTCCATGACAAGTTGTCAATACACAATGAATCAAAAACTCCTCAAAACTCAAGTCCACAAGTCCTCAAAAACTTGCATGGGGTTAAACTACTTTGAAATGTTTGGTTTCTCTATAATCCATGTTGACAATTAAGCATGAAACCAAATGAGTGTATCTTTTTTAAACTTTTCCTACAAACTAATCTCTCACCCAGATCAAGTATTAGCAACATCCATAATGCTCACCAAAGAACGATTGTCTGGTTTTTCTCATTTACAAAGAACAGTTAAGAAACCGTTCTTCCAGCATTTGCTTCAGAAGTGATTTGGGTGAAAGATTACTTGACATTCTTATCTTGTAAATCATTGCTCATTGAACAGTGTGACAAACTAATATTGGTGAAATAATGTTGAACTGGAAAATATATGGGCAGCCTCATCACTAGACACAAAACAAAAGCAATAATTTCACAGATCAACATTGTTCCTGCCTGATACTAATGCTTTGCCCAAAGAGAAGTCACACTGTTCTGCGAGCACTAAACTGAAAAATACTATCCCAGCTGAAGGGTCACTAAGCTGAAACAACAATAAAACCAATGAACACATAAACAAACACAGACTGAAGTAATTTCAATATTACTGAAAAAGAATAAGACACTTTTAAGCACAAATTATGTGCAAAATATGAAACACATGCAAGACCACTTGATTAACCTTTGCAAAATAATCTGTGAATTAGTAACATACATGTCTCACTTGTGAGATGCTGAAGATCTTTTCAAGAAATAAAGTTTTTCCTCAAAAATATTCAAGCACAACACCAGCCCTTTTGAGGATAAAGCTTAGCCAACAAGACTTTAGGACAAAGGTCATAACGACAAATACATCACTTGCAATAGGTCTACAAGTGCCTAACAGACTAAACTATGTAACACGTTACTTTAAACACATTTGAATTGAAATACATTAGGTGCTGACTACATGATCACTTCAGTAAGGCAGATTTCCAACAAAGCTAGATCGAAAGAGTTGTTGACAAAAATTAATAACCCATCAGTAAAAGCTGCAGCTTGGAAATGCACCCTACAAAAATGTTGTGTGAGCTAGCACCTTGGAGCACAAACACTGTTCTCCTTACGCTCTCGGTGAGTAACACCTACAAGCACGCCTGATGACAAAATAATCCATGTAAAATGGAACTACAATTCTAACATTCTAGTACAATGCAGATGTTATTTGCATTAACTTGATGATATAAGTACTACTGTCAGAACAAAATAAATTCATTTCTTAGATGTAGATGAAATGAAACAGATTACACTATGCTTATTGATTACAGGGATGCAAGAAACTGCATTTAGTTCTACTCGCTCACATAGGAGAGAGGATACAACAAAACAGACCTTCAAGCTCAAACAGTAAACTAACTCTTGTACAAACCCATGCTAGAATGGTGTATTTGTGTAATACAGTGACACGTGAATAACAACACAAATACACACAACGATTGTCACAAACAATTCTAAGTTTCGTGTTTGGAGCTTCAAGGTCTTAGTCTGTTATGCAGAATGCATCAAATGCAAGTGCCTCCCCTCCAGAATAATCTGTTTGGACTTTTTAAGAAGTCCTGTGTGCTGATGATTAAGGTCTTGTCAGAAATTACTGACAAGCTTCGTCTACTTACTATAACCTCAGTCACACTCGATCATTGGTAATCCTGACTCTAGACCTACTTAAATGTCAGGGTTATCTTTTTTCCAGAAATACAAAAAACTACAAAGGTAGCTAAAAATACAGAGTATTAATGCTTATTTCTGTGTATGTTGATTGTTCAAATGCTGCTTGTATGGTCATTTGTTAGAATAAGGAAATTTCAGCCAATTTTTCTTTCCTAAACTTACACCTTACCAGATGGCCTCAAATAAACTTGATGACAAGGAAAACAGCAATACAATAGATGACACAGTGTATGACTTGAGTATTCATATAATTATCATGATTTGTATTTCTGGAAAACCAGTCTAATTTCACAAAGACAAGCCTATTGTACAGTTTTTAACTTCCTCCTTTCTTCTTCGCTCCAGTCCTTATACCAGTTGCTTCCACCCCAACTGACCGTAAAATTACACTGCTTTCTTTTTCAAGAAATGCAATCAAAAGCATTGAGCTTGATGAATTGCGAGCTACAGTCTTTATCAAACTCCAAACTAAACTTCATTGACCTATCAACTTCCATTGGCTTCTCTTCTTTAAGCATAATTGAATGGGAAGAGACTAACACTCCAGCCTGCATGCTCACAATCCCTATGAGGCTACTGTTTACACCAAATTTCAGTTCAAAGTAAAAGCTATACAATAGACCTGTTTCCTTGTTCTTATCTACTACGCTTTGTCCTTGACTGTGTAAAATCTCATTTTACATACAGCCAAGTTGTCAATATAAAAATAAAGTTTGCTCTTTGTGGCTTTCTTCATAACTTTATTTTATAGATGTTGTTTTGTGTGGAGAACAGGTCTGTCTGAGGGAACAACCAACAGCCAATGCCATCAGTTTACTTTTGAACAACTCAGTGACAGATGGTGTCAACTCCACACAAAAACATTGAGAACAGTCTTTAAGGATTTTAATTTCAGCCTTCAACTACCTACACCGAATACAAGAGATTACAGTCTTAAGTGTATAATAACAAAATTTAACTCTGCAAATTTAGATGGGTCTGGACCAAAGGTCCTTAAAATAGAACACTTGACAAGCCTTTTGCAAAAAAAAAAAAAAATGTTTTGAGAATATTCCTATGTTTCACATTGTTTCACACATACTTATTTCCGGTCAGTGTCGCACCCACACTATGCATCAATCACACAGTCTCATGACAATTTTTCTGCTGTGAGATTGACCACTCACTTCAGAGTGATTATTGTGGCCAAGACGGCAGTTTGAAATCTGCTCTAATTTTCAGGGTAACGAAATCACAAAAGCGACAGGCTGAAAAGAAATCTTTGTTCTCAAAGAAGTAATTTTTTATAGAAAATACAAACCACAAAAAACAAAACTTACAAACTTGTAGGGAAGAAAAAAAGAGACAACACGACAAAAAAAATGGTACTGAGCATGGATTGCTTGTAGAATATAAACTTTGAACCCAGTTAACACACACTTTATGAGAGGTCATCTTTGACAACTCCCCTGAAGAAATTCAAGCCTACCACTATTTCCAGGTTTACTAAACCCCACTTTACACAACTTAAAATTGTTACAAGTTCTGTTTTATGTGGTTTGATCCAACTTTTCTCACCACTGTTTTTACAGTGTAACTCTCCCTAACAAGTACCTTACTTGTCATCACCACCCTCTATCGTTTCGAAAATAAATCCTGCAACTCAATTATAATTTGTATTATATACATATGTACAGGTTTATAACAAATAAATAATCACTAGCAATACATGAAGGATAATGTGGTAAGAAGCTCCTAACAACTTCACGCTACTAACAGTAAACTCTCCTTGAACTTTCAAATCCTGATGTCAATTTAAATTCTCCACACAGGTCTCCAAATGATTCTTGTAGAGCTATTTTGGAGAATCAGCTGAGAGATCACTTATGTACTCTGATGACCTGTAAATCTGGCTCTAATTTGACATACCCCACAGCCCTGTTGCCTACTCATTTTGTATCCTATGTACTATGGCCTTGCCTTCCTTATATATGGGCCTAAAAATACTTAAGGGAAATAATCAGGCCTAAAAAGCAGATATGGAGGGCAAAAACAAAGGTCTTAGTCATTTTGCTCATGCAAAGCCTTACTGCTCAATAATGTAGTGCTGTATTGCAAAAGATTGCCACCATTAAAAAATGAGTGCTTGTAAAAATAAGCTTAGAGTGACATCAGATGTGCAAAACAACCCCTAATGTAGCAATACTGCTTTCTTTCTTCAAACATTCCGGAGTATATTTGTAACCAAGCCTAAAACATACTTTTACATGCACTGACTTGGCCGACAATTAAATGTAATTCTTGCAGACAACAAATTGTGTCAGGTAAGTGGTACTTTCAACAAAATCTTCACTATACTCACTGCATCCATGCACTCCAGCATCAATGCAATTATTACTACTTTGCATTTAAGACACTTGATTGTCTTAACTCTGGCTTAAAAACCAGACTTCTTACCTAAGAAGCCACAGCACATTACCAGAGGAACAACATTACAGACACTTTCACAACAACCTGTTCTCTGCCATCCAGTCATCCCACACGCTTGGAGCTCCTTTACATTAGACAAGATTTTGATTTACAGATTACACAACAACATGACTAGCCACTCACTGTCATCCTCTTCAACAACAATAAACAATGTACAAACTGGAGACTCAGAAAACAAAAACAACAAGCATTCAAGCAAGACTTTTCTGCAATATAATTCCTTGAACTAGTGGTAATTTTGGATCGTATTGTCAACAATAAATTTCCTCATAAATTTTGGCATGGGAGCTGTGGTTACACATTCCACACAAATCAACTGATTATCACTGGATGTTCATGCTTTTTAGCACTACCATGGAAATATCACTTTGAAGAGAAATCACAGAATTCTTTTCATCCTCCTGTGGTTGTTCAATTCCTACTGTCAAATGAGCAACTCATTGAAATAACAATTGCATATTGCTGAGGATGATTCTAAAAAATCTTGACTTTTATAATCTATGGAGTGTTTACTTTTAACATCACATTCTTAATGTGATTTGCAGTGTCTCACACTCATCCAAGGAAGTCGACAAGCCGATATAAGATGACAGTGAATGAGCTTGACCTATACACTGCACAGCACTTTACAAAGTACGCCACATGAGTACACATACTATTTGTCTCTCTGAATATCAGAAAGGCATAAATACTAATATCTTTGGTAAATGAACTTACAGAACAACTTGCTCCATCTGAGCTTCTTGCTTGTTCTAACTCTGGTAGGAAAACTAAAACTAACAAGGCATTACACGAAATGTATGCATGGCTAGCTAACGTCATTGTGGCCAAGGCGAAAATAGACGTTGCAAATACACAACGATCTTTAAAATGCCTTTTTTCAACTGGTAGGTTCCTCAATCATTTACAATGAGAACCACATCAAGTTTATGGTTTCTTCACTGAATAAAACTTGTCTAGCATACAGGCCTGAAAACACCTAGCACAGTCATCAAATACCACTGAAAGGAAGCAAGTCCTTAACAACAAATGAAATGATTTCCTTTATACTCACTCAATATTTGCAGTCTGGCTAACAAGTGCTGTTTTTTGACAAGTGTTCATAGCAACATACCAAGCGTTTCAAATCCCTATTACAATGATGCTCAAAATATAGTGCAGGCAACTGTGCATACTAAAAAACCTTTTTATGACACATGCTTTGGCCTTCTTCACTAACTATGAATCCATCAAATTTTTTTAATTTATGCCAAATAGTTTCAAGTTTTTATAAAGAGTATGAGGAAAATACTCCATACAAAAACAAGTTATCTGAAACAAGGTTTGGTGCTCAGTAGCAGGAATATCCCTTGTAACAACTACAATTACTTCAACAATAAAAGGAATCCTTGTTTGAGCTTTTACAGAAACTTTGTCCCAAACCGCTTGTAAAAAAAACCATTTCCTCTACTACTTGGCACAATCTTGATTGCTTGGGCTTTAAAACTTACAATAATTAATTTTATGTAACACTAAAAGTATCTTTAATCAATCTTGGACTATCTCTTGCTTCCAATTAATTATTGTAAATTTCTCTGGCCAGTTCTTGTCTTGTTAGTGTAAACATGTTTAGAGTTTTCCTACCAGAATTTGTCTACTTAGTCATCGTCGTCTGGTTGTTGCTGAAACTCTGCCACATAGAGTTTTTTGTCTACAACCACTGGGAAAGGTTTAATCTCTGTACCCAGCTCCTGTTCAATCTTGTACAACTCAAACCTGTCATCACGAGTGAGAAGATTTATAGCAAGACCAAGATGTCCAAAGCGACCTGAACGACCAATGCGATGCAAATACGTCTCCGAATTTTTGGGAAAGTCAAAGTTGATCACAACATTGACTGACTGAATGTCAATTCCACGAGTGAATAAATCTAAAAAAGAAAAAATCAGTGACCAGAATGAGCTGTAGCTATAGATAACGAAAATAACATGCACCTACACTTCAATCTTAAAATTATTTAGTAACCACACACGTTAAAAAGCAAATTCCTTGTCAATGAATAGACATGGTATATTCACCAAGGATTGTAGAAGCTTTCGTTATTTCAAAACGATCTTAGCTTACAACTATCAGCAGTAAAAGAAGCTACAATTTTAGTGAGATTTAGATAAAGTAAACATACCCAATTCAACAAAACTGAGTCTGTTAAGAAAACTTTTGCAAGTGATGTCATTCCTTGACGTACAATAAGCCTTGAAATAGAATACATACAAGAGCAGAAAAGGCAAAATATTTGTATCACATACAGATATTTTTTTGTCAAAATGGAGAAAATCTGTGATTAAAGGAAAAGGTCTATGAAAAGAAATGAGGAGGTCACCACCCATTTAACACAGTAAACTGCAAGTGAATTTGATGCAACAGGTACCAAGCCCTGTATTTGCTTATATTTCTTCCTTAGTGTGCATGTTTGATGTGGCGTGACATTCTGACATGAATTATGTGTGCAGTAAGAATGTGCAGAAACAGTGGGAATGGATGTCCTCAAGTTCAAACAGTAGTAACCACACACAGTTACTCTCTATTAAACTGCTGTTATTTACAGGGAATAAGCAGTATTACCTGAAGAGACCAGAGTCCTTGTCTCTCCTCGCCTGAAATCATGAAACACCCTGTTTCGGTGACTCTGGTCCATCCTTGCATGAATGAAGAAACAGGAATAACCCAGCTCTGTAATCTTTTTGGCCAACAATTCAACACGTTGGACTGAGTTGCAAAATATTATTGACTGAGTCACTTGAAGCTGCAAATAAATAAAAAAGACCTCATTAAAGATTTTTACAGCTTATTTGAACATGTCATTGCCTTTAGCACATAACCAAGGGGGTTGAACAAAGAAAATGGGAGAACTTTACATCTGTTTTTTATACTTGCACTCCACACTGTGATCATTCAGGCTGCCATAACCAAAGACAATTTTTTTTTAACCAAACTTGGGAAAAAGAGTAAAGTGGTGCCTCTTTAAAAATCTTACAGGTCATGCTCTGCTTAGAAGAAAAGTATCAGAACACTTCAACCGGCTTTCTTTCTGAATCTACATTTACCGCTACATGGATTATAACTATACCTTGGAGAATAATGTATTCAGACAGTGCACTTTCTGTCTCTCCTCAAGGAATACATAATACTGAAAAGTAAATTACATGAGACATATTAATCTGTCAATCTGTATACGTTTATTAGTCACATAATGTCAATAACTAGGTAAATTATTATTAGCTCCAAATTTTTATTTAAACTATATTAGATCTTACATTGTAAATTTTTCAATTCTTATTTTGTAATTATTCTTTCGTTTATTTACACACGACCCCACAAGCTGCAAGCTTAATTACTTATTGTGTTTAAATAAAAGTTACCTACTTACTTACTTACTTACTTTCTCACTTATTAATCCACACAAAGGGATTTCTGTACTGTGTGCACTCTCCTGTATAATTCTGAATTTATTTCCATTATAGAATGCAAAGGAGAAGCACAGTTTTCAACTGGCCAAAGGACAGAAGGAGAGATACATGTTTACTGCTCATTTGGTTTGGGGAATGGCTAAAAAAAGACTGCTATTGATACTGCTTACCTGAGTGATTCCCTTCAAGGTCAGCTCCTCCATGAGGTTAATTTCATAAGCTTTTTCCAAATGTTTGTCCTGCAAAATTGAACCACAAATACTACAATTAAACATTCTCTCAAGGTGATGTATTACATCAACACTCCCAAACAAACTAACGCTGTGGCTGACCTTGAATTCCTTTACTGATATGGGAAACGTAGCAGAATAAAGAAGAATTTGTCTGCTAGGAGGGAGGAAACTTATTATGTCTTCTAACATTCCCTTGAAGTCCATGGATAACAGCTTATCAGCCTAGAAACAGA